TCTTTCTTCTTTCGGCTGCTCCCTGCGTTAGGGGTCGCCACAGCGAATTTAGTCGCACGAAGACTTGGCAGTTATTTTTACGCCGAATGCCCTTCCTGATGCAACCACAGACACCGAGCTACCACAGCCCTCTGCGTGGAGCAGAGAGCTGCTATCTAGGACACCCGGAGGAGCACATAGTAGGGGTTAAGGGCCTTGCTCAAGGGCCCAGAGTGGGGCGATTGAGGGTGGGGGCAGGTGTGGGTGCTTCACCTACCCCACCCACATTTTTGATGTTGTCGCTTGAACTGGCGATCTTCCGATCACAGGCCCACCTTCTCTAACCTCTGCGCCACCACTCCCAGGCAAACTCTTCATATATTTTCACTTAATAAATGTAATTATCTAAACAGACATTTATTTCTCCCTGTGTGTTTCTCACTGCTATAGGACTAAGTTTTCTCTCAAGTCCTCTCAGTGAGCACATCCAAACTCACTGACCTCCATTGTATAAGGCCTCAAAACTTCCCCTCAGATTTGAAAGTGAAGGGTGTTTTTAACTTGTTGTTTCTCCAACATTAAAGCAATGTGAAGACATACAAATAAAACTACAATTTATTTGGACTATAAGCCACACTTAAAATCCTTTAATTTTCTCAAAAATCGACAGTGAGCCGTATAATCCGGTGCGCCTTATGTATTAATTTTGGTTGTGCTTACTGACCTCGAACCGATTTTATGTGGTACACAGCACTCAAAAATCTACCAAAATGTTTAGTTTCTCGCAATGCGCCTTATAGTCCGAAAAATATGGTAGGTGTCTTTGCTTATTATTGTTCAGGGATTTTTTTTTCCATACTATCTATAGCTTTTGCACGGACTGCGTGTTTGAGTCAGAGTTTCTTTATTGTCATTCGCACCACATGTGGTACATGTGGTGGAACGAGATTGTGTACTCAGGGTCCCAGTTACATCCCACAGTAAAATGTAAAAGAAAAACAGTAATAAGATCTAAGATTTGAACTAAGAAAAACATTAACTAAAAATATGCTAAGCAGTAATATCATGGAATCTATTTGAAGCTTGAAGTTTGAAGCTTACTTGTAACTTTGCATGTCTCATGAAGTGTGTTGTCAGGGACACACAGGTGTGTGGTCACCATGTGGATGGTTATCTTTATACTTTCTTATGCAGTTTATGCTTAAAAAATATGCATTTTGTCATCTTAGATTATAACAGAAGTAAATTTCAAATCACTTTTTGTTTTTTTTTTAGATACATTTAGGTGGATGTTGAAATTTTGGTTGCATTGGCTCCCTTCAAAATTAATTCAGAACTTTTTCATCTGTCTCTCACACATATTTTATTATTATTTTTTTTTTTTTTTTAGCATTTTAGCTAAATAAAGCATTAAAACAACACAATTTATTTTATTTCACTGCCTCCTCAAACTGCTTTCTGAAGGCTGTGCCACCACAGTGGCTAAATGGAAACAGGATCTTGTTTGAGAAACGGCGGGGTGAGACCGAACAGCGTGATTCATAATGGTTATTTATGTACCATGTAGCTGTTGCTCAGCAGGGAGGCAAAGGCATGGTCTTTACTAAGTAGATCTTTTCCTGCTTCGTTTCTCCTCAGCTGGGCTCACGGCCCGTCTTCCTGATATAATCTCAGTGTTTTTGATCATCCCAAAAATAACAAGTGTAGGAGTTCGGCTGTTCTGGAGTGAAGAAATTAGGTGCAGCAGCCAGACGGGCTTCTGCGGTGCGTTGTGGCAATCGAGTCGGAGGCAGGCAGATGCACGTCGCTTCGATCACCACTAGTTTGGTGACACAGACTCATATTTCTCCCCAAGTCTGTCAGCAAGCAACCAGAGAAATAAACAAATAAAGAAAAATAATACCATTAACTGAAAGGTTTGCTGCCTAAATCACAGAAAGACAAAAGCCGTTTCCTCTTTTTACTCTAACTATCCTTTATTTATTTCGGCGCTTTTTCCTCCCCCACTTGTCCCCTCTGTTTTGCGATGCAGAGATCCAAGTGAGCAATGGTGCATTACTAAGGACACCTGCTCTGTTGACGTGGCCAGGAAGAATGACTGGTGTGTGCGTGTGTTTGTGTATGCGCACTTTTGTTCGTTCATCAATTTTAAAACTGAGCTGGGGACCAGCCTATCAGATGGGTGTGAAGTGAATGTCTGAGATCCTGAATTTTTCAGAGCTGGCATGTCCAACAAGCTGCTGACCGCTGAAACTAGCTGCATTTCTGCATATGGTTTGTCAAAAATAATGAGGAATACTGTCCACTGCTTATAAAGTTTTAAAATATTAAACATGGGACACAAAGCAGAGAAGCATGTTTGGAAAAATGTGACTTGTGCTAAATATAAACCTTTTGTTTCTTACTTTAAAGTTATATAGAGTGAATGTTTATGTTTATGCTGAAGTCACTCTATTGTGGTACATTTTACTTCCATACATTTTTGAGTTGTTTGCTCATCCCACAATTTTTGTGCTATTTCAACAAATCATAACTCAAAATGTTCAGCTCGTTCAGGAGAAGGGAGCTATGATTTTTGGTATTGGTGCAACTTTTGCTCTTTGAAATATTTAGCCTTTTTTGCCATTTTTGTTCTCATAGAAAATAAACTGAGCTCATTTTACATCCTTCAAATCTTTAGATGTGTTTACAACCTTTTACTGCTCCTTTCACATTTTGTTTTGGTTCAGCTTCTTTCAGCTTCCTTGTGCAGGTCTGCACTTTTAGCTAATTTCAGCTGTTTTTTCCAGCTGTTTTTGTGCTCCTTTCATATTCTTTATCCAAGTTTTAGCTTTTTCTGAAATTTCAACTACTATTTAGCTGTTTTCTCTTAATTTTACCCTTTTCAGCAAATTCAACATTATTTTGTAGTCATTTAAACTGTTCACAACCCAATTTAGCAGAAATGGGCCCTCTCCACTTCCTTCTGGTAATTAAACTTCTTTCTGCTATTTTAGCTACTTTTCAGCTGTTTTAGACAAATGTATGCTTTTTTTTTTAGATAATTTCCACTTCTCTGTGATCAATTCTGCTTCTTTAAGGCTAATTTGGAAAACATGTTATTTCTGCTTTCTTCTGCTAATTTAAGCTTGTTCCACCTTTTTAGCTAACTTTTAGCATGTTTTATCTAATTTCAGCTGTTTTCTGAAAATTTCAAATATTTTTTTGAAAATATTTGCTACTTTCAGCCTAATTAACTTATTTATGTTAATTTCAGCTTGTTATGCTCCTTTCAGTCTATTTCTGCTAGTTTCAGTTATTTCAGCTACTACTTATGCTAATTTTAGCTTTTTCAAGAAATTCCCAATTTGTTTAAGTCATTTCAGCTTTTTCTGCTTCCTTCTGGTAGTTTAAGCTTCTTTCTGCCTTTTCACCTACTTTTTAGATTTTTCCCCCTAATTTAATCCTTTTTTTTAAGATAAGTTCTTAATTATTGTGCTCATTTCTGCTTATTTAAACTTAATTCAGCAAATACAGTGCATGTTCTTTCAGAATTCTTCTGGTAATTTAGCATTGCTCTTCCGTTTCAGCAACATTTCAGCATGTTTTTCAGCAAGTTCTTCTACAATAAGCGTTCACACTGCATTTTTGCAGGAAATGCAATTTCTCTATTTAAAATAATAATTGGACATAAAACAGTTTCCTCATCAAATCAAAACATCCCCTCAACTTAGATATTTCACAGACGAGTAAAAAGCAATGTCTTTTCACACAATTTCGATGATCTTTTACTATTACCAAAAGAAAAAACTGTCTTTTCAGAGGGCAGAAATGAAGAAAAGAAAGAGTCTTCAATGCTGAGAGCAGCACAATACTTTCCGATACAATATACTTTACTTTCATCGTTGCTCTGGAGGAAGAAAGAGATTTGAGGGAGGCGAGAAGAGAGCAAAAAGGAATATTTTGCCATCTTATTGCTGACATTTGAATGAGTTCAGTTCACATTCACTCCTGAACCCCCACTGTGCACTCCCACCACACCCCGACTGACAAAAAAAAATAAAAAAATGTATTCGTTTAGTATGTAGGTCACATTACAGTGGTGTCTAGCTATTGGACATAGGCTTAGATAACTGTTTGTCAAGTGTTAAATGCTTTCGCTGCATCAGCAGCCTCTGCCGCTGGTATTTTCACACAGCTGTGCAACTGAAAAGAGGCAGCACCGCAGCAAAAAATCATGTCACACACACACATATTCAACTTCTGATCATTTGTGTGTACTGTATGCTTTAAAAAAAATCCAGTTTGTGTAAAACATTTGCTTTGCCCATATAGAATCGCCTAAAGTGGAGATGAAAACAGGTCTTTAAATCCCGTCAAAGCAGCACCTGTAAATGAGGGCTGTGCTTTGGGTGAATAGGAGCTAAACCCATTGACCTGAGGTGCTAACTCAAGCAGATGAATCTTTGCTTTTCTTTTCTCTTATCCCTGTTTGCTTTGGGTGACCTTGCACACCAGCCTTGATGCCGTGTCTTCACATAGCACTGCCCTAATGGCTCAGATAGGCCCCAGTGTGGCCAGTGCTTTCTACTGAAAACACCCTTCAATACTCGACCCTTTGCTCCTCAATTATACCCTCGCCTTTTGATACAACCACTGCAACCCCTGATTTGAAAATAGCCAGGGAGGAGGAGGAGAAAATTGCACTTGCTTTTACACCAGCAGGATCCAGACAAGGAGTTAAGTGTTCACTTAAAACAAAAAAGGCGGGAGACGAGAGGGGCCGCGGAGCCGCCGTACAGTTTTGCCCTCGGTCGTCTTTGCGTGAAATGAAAGATGCAAGAGGTACGTGTGCGCATGTTTTTGAGCTTTCCTCCCCTCCTTCTGTCCTTTGTACAAAACGAGCCCAGATGGTGATTGATTTTTCAAGTGCTGACATCCCTGCTTGAGAAGCACCCCTCCGTTCTACACACACACACACACACACACTGACACTCACACAAACACGCAAACATCCGTCTTTGTGTCGAGCAAGTCAGGCACACTAACATCTCAGTGCCATCGTCCTCTTTGCGACTGCCAGCAACCGCTATTGATTGACAAAAGTATGCATGCAAACAAATAGCCACACACACACACACCTACACACACACGCTCATCCAAACATACAAGCACAAAGCCAGAGGTCATTTGCAGTCTGTCCTTGTTTATAGGTGCTGCATTAAAAAGAGGAAAACATATCCAAATAAAGTATATATATTTTAATAATCTGTTTTTTTAGTTACCCCTGAAGGTGTTAGTTAATACAGTAAATTAACAGAACATTCATCATTTCATCTTTTCTTAATTACGTCTGCATTACTACCACACACTTGCTTGATTTATCCCCCAAAATAAATAAGGATACATATACGAAAAAAATAAAAAAATAGATAGATAGATAGATAGATGGATAGATGGATAGATAGATAGATAGATAGATAGATAGATAGATAGATAGATAGATAGATAGATAGATAGATGATAGATAGATAGATAGATAGATAGATAGATACTATAGATACTATAGATACTATAGATACTATAGATAGATAGATACTATAGATAGATGGATAGATAGATATATACTATAGATAGATAGATAGATAGATAGATAGATACTATAGATAGATATATAGATAGATAGATACTATAGATAGATAGATACTATAGATAGATAGATACTATAGATACTATAGATAGATAG